TTGTGTTTTTGAATTTGCGTTTGTGTTTTGAATTTGCGTTTGTGTTTTGCACCTCTGGGCCACCGTACATTAGCGATATTATGAATCTTTTTCTAGTTTTGTAACTCCTTGTTTTTTACAGGGAGAAATACTTGAGAATTCAGTGTTGCCACATTTAGACCACATTGCGAAAGATCGGGATATTTTTGTGCAGATCCGAGGTGTCCAGCTTCTGGTCGATGTTATTGCATCCTCTGATTCACCGAAAGTTTGCGATGTTTTGCATACAATCGAGAAGGTACTGATACAATCCTTTTCAGACGGTTTCATTTCTCCACTCCAATTTGCCTCTTCATTCGTGATGAGCTGATACTGTACTTCAATAGAAAACTCTCTCTTATCAGTGAAAGCTTCCTAACCTGAACCCAACTATATATCCGCAAATTGGATCGTTTTACACGGGAGTCGTGAATGCAAACGCGTCAGTGAAGTAAAAGGATATATATTTCATTTATCAATTCCAGATTGCCACTGTCCAGTAGATCCTCTCAAGCGATACGTCAAGCCGTCGTGTAAAGAACATGTAAGGTAATTATAGAGACTGCAAGGTATTTGTAGGAACATCTAGAGACATATAATTACATCTAATCACTGTAAATTGTCTTTGTTGCTGCAGCCTCAGGATGAAACAGCGTAGAAAGACATCAAAGAGGCTGCATTAGGATTAGTACGGGGAACTATTTTGGCTTCAAGCTAAATAGGGATTTTTGTCAGGACTTATCGTTCTAGTTGTATAAAATGAAACTATTCACAATGAATTCCAAATCGTAATTCATCATGGTATCAATGCCCCCCCCCTCTCTCTTTCAAAAATTAGACCCATATTCCATTTCTAATTTAATAAGTGGGTTCTTTAATAAGTGATAAGCTAGCTAAAGCTAATGTTTCCAAACTATTTCCACATCAACATATGCCATATTTTTGTGCAGAAGATTAGTGGTTATAAATTACATTGGAGTGAACGAAAGGTTCCAGTGACGTTAGAGGTACTATTATTGTTTTCAAGTTTCTTGATAACTTACCTGTGTCTTCATATATATATATATATATATATATACTTGATATTGCCAGACATTTGAATATTTGTGATTGGAATAATTCAACTCAGGCTTTCATTCCATTTCTATACTTAGATCTCAGATTATCCTAAAGGATTTGTTGTTGTCTGTGGTGGTTTTAGCACAATGGTATGTACCAGATGTTGCTAGTACCAGCCATAATATAACAAAAAGATAAGATACCAGTTATTTCTGTAAATGGAAGTTTTACATTTTGTGCACAATTTTGCTTTTGTTTTCCAGCATCTTTTCACATCAGAGAGGAATTGCTGAAAAAGATGATGGAATCTTCTTTCAATAATGTTGGTGTTACGATAAAGTATGTGAACATTTTAAGTAAACAAATTTTAAGTAAATGACAAAATGACTTATATTCAGGTTACTTTATTTGTTTACGTTTTAACCGTTTTTGACAAAATTTTTTCCAGGTCTGTAATTTACTTTGAGCTGTATTTGTTATTTCTTTTGCCTCGGTTTAGGCAGAAGAAAAGTTCCATGAAAGTGGAGTCGTTTTTTTAAAACAAATTTGGAAAATACAGTTGAATGATATATTATTAAGACAGTATTTCGTTTGTCCTGTGTAAAGAATGTGGGATATGACAGTAAATGACAATTTTTTGTTTCAGTGATGACGAACATATCACATCAATGTCAGAATTCAGCGTCTATAAAGAAACTCCTCGGAGTAAAGTGAGTTATGTTGTTAATAAAATTCTTCTAAGAGTCTATCCTTTTTCATTTTAAAATCGTTTTGACACTCTCAAATTTAGGATCCTGTTGAAAGAACGCTGTGTTTCTTAGAAACGTACAATATCGTCACCCTTCATCCCCTTAGCTCATTAAGTCATGCGACATTCCATGTCAGTTCCAGTAATTGTTCATATCTGACCTTGAAAGAAAACACTCCAAACACTCAATGTTTTCCGACCTGGATTCAAGTTTACTGCTTTTATCGTCTTTTTTATTTCACGTTTCCATTTTGAACATGTCCAATTGCAAAAAAGTATCCAGCCGAGTTAAAATAGTTTTATTTTTCCAGTTACTTTCCAGAATATAGCGTATATACCGTATAGTATATCATAGTTTTCAAACTTCTTTTCCTGTCAGATATTTTTTAATAATTCGATATCGAAACCATCCTCAGTCGTTCGGCTGGAATACACAAGCGGTCGGCTGAGAAATTACTCGTCTCCTGACAGGTAGTGTAAGAAAGCAAATTTTTGTATGAAGCTATAAAAAATATTTCTTGTTTGAATTTTTGTATTTCACTCGATCTAGGGAAACATTATTGGCTGGTTTGCTAGACGGTGTTAGAGCCAGTTGAAACAATAGATGTTTGCGTAAAAACGACCCCAACGAAGAGAAGTACTGTATGCTTATTCATAGATGATTGAGCGAAAATTATGGTCAAAATTTTCCTGATGAAAATCTCGTACTGCTATGATTACCCTAAATAGGATCCCTCATTTCATTCTCCTGCTGACGTATGTGATCTCATATAACACCCAACAATTACACTTCTCGTCAGGTATCAGCTAATAGCGTTATTCCTATTAGCCAGTTCAATACATCACATACAGCAAAAGAAGAATTTTTTTTTAAGATGATATATTTTTCAAGGTTATCGTTGGGGTCCATTGTATAATGTTGTTGACGAAGAAGTAGAAAGCAGTCATTTAAATTCCTCGCTGCATCTCCAGGTGAAATATTTCCCTTTTTATTTCACTTTAAATTTTTGAAATATCTCCAAAAGCTTATATTGTCTTATGACTGGTTCCTTGCAGGAAATTTAAACCGAAGCTGTGTACAGATTTAACTGCAATATTCCTACTGCGGTCTACTTCATGCAGTCACCCAAGACGTAAGTTGACAACTTCTTATCTTGTACTTTTCTGCAGACGAAATCCTGTGTAGAGAATATTATTGCCTTTTTATTGAGTTTAATGTTTTGTCAAAATCTGGATTAAGGCTGTTTTCCACTCACGTGTTTTTCATACGCACGTACACGCACATAAAAATCTAAATTCTTATACATGTTACCTTTGAAAAAACTAAGTGAATAAATCGACCTAGATGCATGTTAATTAATAAAAATTAAAAGCAATTAAAATTCTCCGTATGTGTACATGCGTATAAAAAACGCGTATATAGAAAGCAGCCTTTAGTGTAAACTAAACGATTGCTAGGCTGCACAGTTACGTTAAATGAAAACATTTGCCCATTTCGGCTGCTAATTGAAAACATTTAGCAGGGTTTAAAAATGTCTGCAAACAACACGGTACATTTAAACTGGTTTATCCAGTATAGCCAAAGGCAAAGAGTATGGCTTTAATAAAAATACCCTATCCTGCTACTGTTCTGTGCACAAATGTACACAAAACACTAATAGTACTCCCTAAAAACCGCCGTAACTCCAGCCTAGTCCCAGACCTCTCATTGCGCGTGTTTTATATTTCCGTCTCGTTACCGAATGAAACGCGCGCGAGAGGCCTAACACAAAAATATTTTCTAATCTTAACGGCCCGTTTAATGTTGTGAACTTGAAATTAGAATTGTTATTAAAGTAAATGTTTGCAATTTACAACAGTAACCGTTATAAAGGAAGCGAGAATAATTTAAATTATTATGCATTGCTAAGGCAATATCGATTGTGATTGGCTAAAAAGCTACAGATAATTCTCAATGTCTTGCCACCTACACGACATTGAAAATTATCCGTAGGTGACGTAATTTTTACCGCTAGTTTGTTGTTAAACTTCGTCTTTAAAAAGGAAATACATAATAAAAAATTATTGAATTCGGTTTTCGCATGATATCGAGAATTATCAAGCCTCAGTTTGCGCTATCCGCCTCAGCTTCGCTTCGGCAAATAACGCAAACTTCAGCTTGATAATTCTCGATATCACACTCAACCTCATCCAATAATTGTTAATTGGTGGATTGAAGTTTATTATAATCATAAACATGTACGTACTGACTCGAGTTTACTTGATAGTCGATAGCGTTGACGGCGAGCGACATTGAAACGTTTGTATGAATATTTCGACTCCTGGCAATATAATTAATATCCCGTAGCTTATTTCAAGCAAATGTTTGACTAACGACGTCGAACAAGGCCAGTTAACCGCGTCGTAGATCGTAAACTGACCTCAATACAGAAAGTGGGGACAAAAAGTCCCGACTTTAGCTAAAATACAAAACATTTTGTTCTAGGCCTCTCAGTTCCCGCCTCGCCGCGTATAAGGAACATTAAGAAGCCTAGGGACTAGGCTGCGGTAACTCTGGTTGCTGAGTTGACTGGGTCCGAATCCATGAAATGGTAGTTTTGAAATTTTCCCGCCAGAAGTACGGCTGGAATATTAAGTCTTTTAAACTCCAATATATATTTCAAACGATTTTAAATATTTTGTAGGGACTTTTCTCATAGAAAAAGAAAGACTTATCAAAATGCTCATTGCTCACAAAGGTATTGTATATCTCTGCCAATAAATTTATTTAGTGTTCAACCCAAAAATATACATATTCTGAGTGCTATTACCTTCACAGGTGTTCTATATATACATAAAATAGTTAAAAAGTTTCGTCTATTTGCAGGAGACCAAAACAAAATATGAGATAAAGATCTCGAAGCACTGTTTCACGATTTGAGAAGTTGGGTTCGATCCAAAGCAGGTTTCGCGCTTTCACAACGCTCACTAGGTGAGAAACGTTTATCTTTAACCACGACACACGCTGTTTACTCAACCAGCAACATTTTAGCAACATTCTTAGATTCATCTAAAACTTGTGATTTTATAATCCTCTATATACTAGCCATCTGTAAATAGTTCAATTGAGACTAACAAGCATACTCCATAAGTAATTTATAATCTTTATTGTTGGCATATAGGCAATTGAGTGGAATATCTTGTGGCTCTCTGGACAACTGGTCATCCAACAGCAATGGCATTACTTTTGAGAATAATGTTCGTATTAAAGTAGTTATAGTTTTTAATGTCTAAAATATACAATAAAGTTTAAATGCGAGATTTCCTGTTCGTAAGTTTTGGTTCATAAACAATTATGTAATAGTGACTAAGTGGTATCAACTGCTTTGGTAACTAAACTCCATCATTCATTCTTAAATTGTCCCACTGACGAAATAATTAAAAGGTAATTCATTCAGAAGTGTAAAACCTTTTTGTAAAGAAACAATTTTGTTGGAAAGTTTTTATCTTTCCTTTAGCCACCAGAGACTAAAGAAGATTATTAATCAATTCGTGACGATGTAAAGCTTGCAGAGTACGTTTTAAGGCAACAATCGTGTTCCAAAATTTCATAATGCATGCTTGTATGTACGTATTAGCCTGTTATTTCACGTGCTATACTTGTCTGTTAGAGCTCTGGAGAAGCGAGAGGAACGTCGAGGAATAAACTTGAAGGATATCTCTCGCATTGGAGGACAAAAATAGGGTTCAAATTCAGGAAAGATGTGAGAATTTAAATCCAGTTGTTTTATTACAAGTAAGTGTTCATATTAAGAAAATGGGAAAATGTTCTAGTCGTTTGAAAGATAAAAAAGCAATGGTATTTAAACGGATCTTTTTTACAGATTCAGTCAAGATCTGAAAGCGTACAACCTGATTTGGAATTACAAGGTGAGTCTCGAAGCTAAGGTTAGTTTCCGTTGAAAATATAGGAAATGAAAAGGTAATGGAGGATTTCCTGTCGCTATGAGTATAACAAGACAAATTCAATAGTCCTGACCTCTTTCTCTAAACTGTTTCTCGTAAAAGAGTTTGAAACAATTTCTTTTGTTTTCAATGTGACAAACGCGAGAGGAACTTCTGGGGCTCTCGAATCTGAGTTGCGCGCATTTGCAATGGAAAAATATCTGAGTGGAAACTACGTTGTTTTTTGGAATCACCTTTAGTTTGAAGTCTTGTATGAATGGTTACCTGATCAACTGAAAATAGGTTAGTGATAATCCTTATACTGCTCTAGCTTTTTAACAGTTCTTTTTAAAGCGCCCTCCCCCTATCTCTCCATAGCAATAATCAAACTCAGTAACGTATCTCTCCTATCAGGCGACTATTGAGAGTCTTGTTGGAACAAAACGACGGGGAAACACCGATAACAAATGTGTGAGTCCACGACATTTATCTATCAGGATTTGCAAATATTCAAACTACTGTCCTGCTTCCCGCTGCATAAAAACGATTCCAGATACCTAATATATAATATACCTTAGCGTCCTATTCTCCATATTG